GACGCCGGCATTCCAAGAGGCATTTTGAGACCGCTAGTTTAAATGGATATCCTCTAAGATGAACGTTGGGTGACAATTTCCGAAGCGGGCGACACGGATGGCTTGGGTTTTGCATTATTTGGTATACTATAACCATACCTCCTCTGATGCACCGGTAGTGACTGGAATATAACCCCAGTGATTTCAATCTCTCTGCGTATGAACACCGATTCAACCCCCTGACCATTTTGGTGGCCATCCTTTGTGGACGCTTCAGCATCTTCCAATCCCGCTGTAGCCATGGATTCCAGGCCTGGATAGCGTATTCTGTGAGTGGTCGAATGTATGCTGATAGTAAGCGGGGGAATAAAACTGACTCAAACCGGTCGAAGACCCGCTTAAGCAAGCCGACATTCTTTACAGCGGCGTTGGATACTTTGGTGCAGTTGTGTGAGCAGCTTAAGTTTTCTTGAATGATGATACTCAGGTCCTTCTCACTTATGGCGTGTGGCAGTTGTTCATTTCCGAGGAAATATGAAAGTCTTTCCCTGTGTCGTAGAGATAGAACCTTGCCTTTTGGCACATTGAATTCTATATCGTTCATAAGGGACCACGGATGAGCTGCATTCAACGTTTCTTGGAGTGCCAGTGAGCCCGTTGGTTGCGTTACTGTATTCCAAATTTTGGCGTCATCTGCGAACAGTAATGATTTTGGCCCCAGAGCCTTCGGTAGATCGTTTATGAACGTTAGGAAAAGTCGCGGGCCAAGCACAGATCCTTGTGGAACCCCACGGGTAACGTCCATAGGACTGAAAAGTGAATCAGAAACACGAACCTATGCGGTCCGATGTCGGAGAAGTGCTTCGATCCAGCCAAGCGCGAGGCCCCGAATACCGTGGTTATAGAGTTTCCTCAGTAGAATGTTATGATTTACCCGATCGAACGCTTTTGAGAAGTCAATATAAATTACGTCCACCGCATAACCATCATCAGCTGCTTTTGTCCATTCTTCTCGTGCGATCAGCAAATTGGTAGCGCAGGATCGCTTCTGTCGGAATCCATATTGATTTGGTGACAAAACATTGTGCTTCTCTAGGTGTTCCATCAGCGAATCTGCTACTATGGACTCCATGACTTTGGACAGCACAGGAAGGAGGGTTACAGGGCGGTAGTTAGCGGGATCGCTACGGCAACCGCCTTTATAAATAGGTGAAATTACTCCCTGCTTCCATGACGGTGGGATTGTGGTGTAATCGAACATCCTCTGGAATAGGAAGGCTAGTGGCTCGGATATTNGCTTTTGAGAAGTCAAGATAAATTACGTCCACCGCGTCACCATCATCAACTGCTCTTGTCCATTCTTCTCGTGCGATCAGCAAATTGGTAGCGCAGGATCGCTTCTGTCGGAATCCATATTGATTTGGTGACAAAACATTGTGCTTCTCTAGGTGTTCCATCAGCGAATCTGCTACTATGGACTCCATGACTTTGGACAGCACAAGAAGGAGGGTTACAGGGCGGTAGTTAGCGGGATCGCTGCAGCAACCACGTTTATAAATAGGTGAAATTACTCCCTGCTTCCATGACGGTGGGATTGTGGTGTGATTGAACATCCTCTGGAATAGGAAGGTTAGTGGCTCGGATATTTGATTCGCCAAGCATATAAGGGTTCGGGGGTGAATATTGTCTGCACCTGGCGATGCATTCTTCCTCAGGGCCAATAGCTTTGTTTTAACCTTTTCGGCAGTGAATGATACGGTGGTTAATGAAGGATGTTGAATTTGTTTTATCCTACGAGGGAGGGACATTCGTTCATTAGTTGACGCAGCAAAAACGTGGGCATACTGGTTCTTCAGCATTTCAGCGGCTTCCATCGTATTGGCTGTGACTCTCCCAGAAGAACTGAGCACCGGTATTCTATGTTTAACTTTTCGGGCTGAGTTAACATGTTTGTACAGAAGCTTGGGATTTTAAATAAATATCTGTGCTGGAGATTCTTAATGGTATAGTTTATCTTCTCTCACCAACTTGGTGCAGTGGTTTCGCAGCAGTCAGTAATTGTTCCAGGTGCATGCATTCGGAAGTCGTTTGTAATTCTTCCAAGCGAAGTCCCTCAGAAATATCCATTTCTTTGCACGGCTTCGAATAGGAGATTTCCGGCTGCTGGGTTTGGTAACAACTATTACCTGCGTTACTGACGCCAGTAGTTGTTACAGACTGCCAGTAAATTCCTGCCACACGGATAACGGGTTGTGCTGTTCCCTATGAGATATCCATTGAATGGAAGGAGCCAAGCTCTCCAACTTTGCATAGTCTATGAATGTGCGAACGTCTTTTGGGCTGACTGCTTTGACAGAAGCGTAAAAACTATTTTTGAATAACAGTCCTTCATGGTCACTGTGTCCCAGAGGGGTCGTAACGGCAACAGATTCTATCATCAACTCTTCGTTTGTCAACACTAAATCCAGGATGGATGGTGGTTGCAAGTTTCCGAATCTGGTATGCTCTTTCACGTGGTTGTACAATGGTGAGGCAATCAGCTTTATGAATTGCTGTTCGAAGAAGGGATGGGAAGTGATTGGTTTGCCAAGGTTTGGACAGTTGAAATCACCCATTAGCAAAACATGTGTGAATCCTTTTGCGAGAATGTGTACAATAGTGTTCAAAAGGGTCATATTGGCTGATTCCGTGGCTGACGGAGGGCGATAGGTGACACCAATCAAACAGTCATCGTGTTTGGACAGTCTCAGTCTACACCACAAAGTGTCAGGAGTCGAAACTGGAGGATGGATTTGCTCGCAATCAAGGTCTTTACGATAATAGAGTAGAACACCACCGCCACGGGTAGGACGATTGCATCTAAGCAGAGACATTTCTGGTAAGGACAATTTGGGGTCCGAAATATCAGCTGTAAGCCACGTTTCTGTAACAGCAATAATATCCCACTGACCTGATATGAATCGAAAATTTAGCTCTGGAAATATGCTGAAGAGTCCTTGAGCACTAGTATAGCAACAGTTTAAATATTTTCGGTGAAGAAATCCGATTGGATTAGAAGTGCTATCTTGGCCGACCTATTCGCGATCGGCTGCCATTAGTTTTTTGACAGAGAAGCTCTGGTTCTTTGGACCACTGTTTGCGGGACGGAATTTGGTACTGGAACTGAGTGGTCCGATGTATTAGTAGGGTTCTCGGGATATGAGTGTGTTTGGAGCCTGGGATTGATCAACGGTCTCACACGTAGTTCCGGTGGCCCTCTGCTCTTTCGTTCTCGCCATAAGTGCAAGATGGTGTTGGCCATGTCTGGAGTGCCAAGGGTCACCTTCATTATCCTCGAACCGTTTCCATGGTAATTTGGAGAGCAGGAAAGACCACTGATTGAGGTTGTCAGAAGACCCGTACAACCAAGTAAATTTTGGATGAATCGCCATGCTCGTCGGTCGTTCTGATGACTTTTATATTCATCTGGATCGTTCAACTGTGGAACACCATGGATGAGGACGACCCTCATGTTTTCCTCCACCCTGGCTGTCATTGGATCGGACTGATGCTGCATTCGTTCTATCCATGGCCTATCAGGGAAAACTCTGGCTCTGCAGGAACCATCTCTGAGGAGGTAGCCAGAAAGAAGAACGTCCTCCAAGTCTTTTTCATCTTTCAGGGTCACCCGGAGTCTGGGTTCCCCGACATGCAGCGACGTTGGCTGGCGCGTAATTCTCGTGAGGCCCACAGGTAGAACATTAATGCCCATTTGCGTGCACAAACCCTTCCAGTGTTCCAGCTCTTCTTCTTGTCATTCTCTCAGTGGTTGTTTTGTCGTCTCAGATACATTTGTGCAAATAAGCGTCAAGGCTGTATTGTTCCCACCTTTTTTCTCCACTATCGAAGGCTTCGGTGTGAATGTAACAGGCTTCGTTCGTTGGACGATCTTCTCCTGCTCAGGAACGGTCACCGTATCAATCGTTACAATAGCAGCCATATTTATATCACCTGGGGGTTTGCACTGTGTTGGGACGGTGCTGAATAAACAGCACCTTGGACGCTTAGTTGGTCGCTAGATTTGGCTCTATGGGAGGATCTGGGACGTCATGGCAGTTTTTTTCTCTTCTAGTGCTGAAATTTTCCCATTAGCTTTCTCCTCTGCGGCTAACAGTAGCTTCTGAAACCTATTTTTAATGCCGATCATGTATTTTATCACCGGAGTCTTCATAAAATCACTGCAAAACCAAAACCAATCTTGTTGTGCGAGCATGTGTTTCATCTTTTTCATCGATAGTTTGGCGCATGCAGCGTGGAAAGTCTTTTGGCAGTATGTACATGGCATTCCTGTTTGAACTTCGTAGTATGACACCAAGAAGATTATAGTTTGTATGGTTCCGCATGCTGCAGTTAAAGCCTAATCTAATCTGGCTCACACTTAGTGGCTGGTGTGTAACGACTTCAGTCATTATGTTTGCTCCTTATCTGCTAGAGTAATTACGTTTGAAGTAAAACAACATATTTGTTTCACATTGGTAAAAATCACATCTTATTTTTCTTCGGTGGAGAGCAAATCAGTAGCACCCTGTGACATTTTGCGCAAATCAAATGATATCTGCATGGAAATCAAACGCTGCATATATATACCTATACATATAGCTTTGGCGCATCAAGCAGTGCCCGAATCAAATCATTAAGCCACACTTTCATTTCAAGTTACTCCATTATCTTATCCTGCTATGCGTATGCGTTGTTGACTTTCACATCACACACGACGTTCATGCATCCAAGCGATGCGCGGATGATCACCATATGACACACAATATGCTGAGCCTCATGTTGAATCAAGGGAACTCGAGACGAGAAAATGTTGTGATCATAATCAGTCCCACAAACGCCAAGCGGTGTTACTCATACTGATGTCGAGACAGAAACACTCCAAAACTCAAAAGTGATGTAGGGGATCAATTAAAGTGTTGATTGTTCCTTTGTTTTTTCTTTTTCTCTGCATTTCGCTTCTTTTTACTGAAAATACAGAGACACATTTTTCAGGAAGGGGGAAGGGGTCATTGAAAGGGCTGCAGCTCAACATATAATTCGGGAGGTTAGGCGGTAGTGGTGGGATTAAAACACACATCCTCCGGTTGATAATGTGGTAACGCTACCACCGGACCACCACCGCCCATTCAAATCAGAAAATGATTAGTTTGACTGACTATTCTTTGGACTTCACTTTCACGCACAATCCTGAGTTCATCGATTTAACCATAAACTCTGAAGCACCATATTCAAGTTTCTCTCTTATTACAAGAAGGTAACACACACCTTCCACGCCATGGGTCCGGAGTTCAAATCCCGGACGGGAAAGTGGATATGCATTTTTAATGAGCTCTAATGAGATCGAAACTCGTGTACACTTCGAGGTGTATGGCTGAATCGATGATCCGAGAGATCAATCGATATCAATTATCCTACACCACTACGCACAAGTAACTGTGAGGTAAATGCGAATTTATGTTTTCCAAATGTAACTAGGGCATTCATGGCCAAAGATCCGCATAGAACAACCAGAGTAACAAAATAAACCAATCGAGAAACAGCTTCCTCGGTTTTGAGAAAATTAAACACATTGAATGAGGCTGCGTCTCTTCTGAACACACAAATGCGTCCATGTCTTTTCTATTACTTAACCATGTCCAATAATGCTCATTATTATATGATCAATAAATAACAGATCCATAGGTGAAAAAAGATTGCGGACAAAATTACTCATCAAACACATTTGTTACCAAGGTAGTGCCAGAGTGATAAGCCATTCACGTTATTTACCCAGCGGGGGTGGTAATTTTGAAGGGCTAATGCCTCAGTGTATTTTAGAATCTTGGTAATGGTTGTGATTTAGAGGATTCTGAACGCGTCGTGTAGCATGACACAGTGTTTCATTTCTATCAGTTGTTCTGTGGTCGACAAAATGAGTTTCCTACGTGTCATCGGTGACATCATAATTCAGACGTTCCTACTCATTTTTACTGACATACTTACTGACCAAATAATAATGATCATACAAACTGCAGCATGCACGTGTACAGATGCAGTGAANTGCAGCATGCACGTGTACAGATGCAGTGAAATGATCCAAGATGCATTGTGCAGACCTGTGCTCGTGGCTTCTCTATTCATATTTGTTACGGGGAAACCACAATACCATTAAGATCAGAATTAAAAAAATCTGCATAAACCCTACTCACTATGGGATCCAATTGTTCACGATAATAACCAAGCATTGAATTTGCGTTGAATCGTTTAAAAGATGAAAGCTTTTGCATAACTCGCAAAGCTTCAGTAAAATACGATACAATACAATAGTCACCCGCTGCGTTTCACACGTAGTAAGCATTTCTTCTTAAGTAGACATGATCATCCGTTCCGCCGAGCATAACACACAGTATCATGGTCTATCCGGAACATACAGCAGGACAGCCTATTCAAACATGCATATGCGTGTTATTCACAGAAACCGGTTATTGGATGATTAAAATTACAGACCAAATGGCACCATCACGGCGAGTGACTTGGTTGATTGGAATTGATTATCGTACTGATCACATCAATGTTGTTTTATTTGTCCTTGTTTCTACCTACCAATGTTCTATACCACAATTTGATAGTATTTAATTGCGTTTCAATTGTGTATTATTTAATTGTGTACTGATAGTAGGTTCAATGGAGTTTCTTTAGGATTTTGTTTTTGAATTAATTGCCACTTGTGTTGCGAGACAACATCACCAACTAACCCTACTGCTCGTTTCCAGAGAACTTCAAATTCCTCAGGAAAGATACCTAATAACCATGATGTTATTATTTACCATAATGCATGCAGTATGAAGCTATGAAAGGACAGTGCATCATGCATTCAATAAAGGCTTATCATCATGTGTCTAAGAAATTGTTAACTGAAAATAATGCCAGTAGGTGAATCTCGATGGATGACTTGAAATGAGATTCTCACCTGTGCTGCACGTGTTAACAAAATATACTCATACAGGCCTTCGAACTTGAGATTATAAACGAAGATTTAACTAACGCTCTGAAAACACTATCATTTGTTGTTGACATGAAGGAAAAATCTCTCAAAACAGCTATTATTTGGAACAATAAAATTATTCCGTATCCTGAAGAAAGTCTTGTCATTGTAAACAGATCCTCCTCAGTTTGAGTTCCATTTTTTCTTGTTCGGTTTCGGTTATTTGAACAGATCAACAAAAAGTGCGTGGAGGTAAGTTCCGTAAAACGTGTTGTTACTGTACGCTTACGCAGTATATGAACCAATAAAACAATGGTGAGCAGTAGTCTAGCAAAGTACAAGGACAGACACGGATGAATAGCAGAACACCGCACAGAGAAGACTGAAGCATAACATAGTAGTAATTTGATCGTTATGATAATCTTCTCACTCTGTTTTTCAGTCGTCGTGATATTACGATTTCAATTGTAAGTAAAAAATCCAGCAATGTTATTTTCTGCGAACAACACGTTAGTTCACGTTTAGATGCGCAATGTTCTCTTTTATGTCTGCGTCAGACGATTCTCGTAACACCATGAAACAGTGCCTGTCATCCACACAGTGAAAAGGGATGATTCTGTTTAATCTGACCAGATAAGCGAACAGGGCGTGGGACCCAATTCGAGTGCGAGAATGCTTCAGATAATCCAAAGCAGAATGTTCTAGTAGACCGGTGTAGAGAACATTCCAATCTAAATTGTTGTTCCGCAGTAAACAGGGTTTGTTTGGAAGTTCCCACTTGTTTCGTTTTAATTATTGTTTATGATGCATTAAAAATAACAACCTGGTTAAATGCGGATATTCGAAATAGATGCAACTTCATTTCAACGG